CTACCACACAACCAAGTGTTGACATCACTCCACGATGAGCTGAGTAGATAATTCATGACCCTGCAGCAGTGGTCTGAAAGGGCCGTACAGCAAGCGGCAGACTTCCTGTGGTCCCACCCAGGCCCGGGTCACATCCATACAGCCGGGCCACATTGCTCACCCTAACCCCTTTACTATACGCCCTCCACACCCTCGAGCACAGCCAAGAACTCATTCCATTGTTCTCAAGAGTGAGACATCCCCATGCACAAGTGGTCAGATCATGCTACAAGCCAGATGTGTGTATGGTATGCATGTGTATGTGTGTGTGTGTGTGTGTGTGACAGTGTATGGCAGAGTGGTTAAACCAGATAATTCTGTAGACAGCATGAGTTTGTAATGAAGTGTAATTACTGGAAATGGCTACAGCTTATTGTTTCAAGTTTGAGTCATTCTTCCTTCTAGAGAACATGCTTAACAGTATCTTCAGCTATGCTTCCAATCAATGACGTGTTTGGTGCTTTAATGCAAAAGATGCTATGTTTGTGATAAGTGTGATGATTCTTCACTTACCAGTAAATCAGACCATGTCACAAGTTATGATGTGTTCTTGCTTTAATTTTCTGTATCTGATGGTGGTGTTTGGCCCCACTTTTTTTTAACCTTTGCATTCCTAACATTCCACTTTCACCGTTGCTGGGATGATATCATATCTTGAATATGAAAGGGTTTTTCGAAGGATGCACTCACTAATGGCAAATGGAAAATTTCCTTCACAAAAGAAGGAACAACCAAACTTTCACAAGCTCCAGCATAATCTGTGATGTTACACAAATATGTACAAATTGAGCTATAGGTATGAATAAATGATAACAGCCCATTCTCTACTGTAGAAGAAGAAAATGGTGACATTGTATATTTCTGCAAACCACAGATAGATCAATATTTCTACAATGACATGGTTCAAGCTCCATTTGCATGAGATGACTTTGTCATCCGGAGCTGGAGGGGATAGTGGATGGCATGAATCCTAGGTGAGATGGCTGACATGTTGCAGACCACTGTTGGAGACCAATAAACAACAAATCTGGGTGTTTTTAAGCAAGACATCTGGGCATTCACAGCCAGACTTGTGGCACTGAAAGCGTTTTTCTTTTAGTTTGACATTGCTCCATTTCCAGCCTTGATTGTGGCACCAAAATAGGGTGCTTTTTTAAGCCAGATTTCACTGCATTTTTAGCTGCTATTGTGCCACGAAAAACTGTATTTATTTAGCAAAACATTGTGGCATTGATTGTGGCACCCAAAATGTGTTTTGGTGAAGACATCACTGCATTTCTAGTCCCGATTGTGGCACCAGTACTGTGTGTTTTTAAGTGAGACGGTGGCCATTTCTAGTCAGGACTGTGGCACCAAAACTGTTTTTTAGTGAGACGGTGGCCATTTCTAGTTGCGATTGTGGCACCAAAACTGTTTTTTAGTGAGACATCGGCCATTTCTAGTTGCGATTGTGGCACCAAAACTAGATGTTTTTGTTAGCAAGATATGAGAGTATTTCTCGCCGCATATTTGCCACTACGACTGTGTTTTTTTAGATGGACATCAGGGCATTTCTCACACCCACTGTGGCACCCAAAAAGTGTGTTTTTTAGTGAGGCATTGCAGCATTTTTAGTTGTGATTGTGGCACCAAAACTGTGTGTTTTTTAATAAGACACCAGACATTTCTAGCTGTGATTGTGGCACCAAAGCGAAGTGTTTTTGAGCAAGATATTAGGGCACATCTTGCCTCATTTATGGCATCACAACTGCGTTTTTTAGATGGACATTGGTGCATTTCTAGGCATGACACTGGGCATTACTAGTGGCAATTGTGGCACCAAAACTGTGTTTTTTTGCAAGATGTTGTGGGATTTCTAGCAGCAATGGTGGTACCAGAACTGGGTGTCTCCTAGCAAGATACTGGGGTATTTCTATTGGGGTATTATTTACCACAACTGTGTGGGTTTTTTTTAGGTGAACGCTGGGCCATTTCTAGCTGTGATAAAACTGGGTGTGTTTTAGTAAGACAATGGGTTCCAAAGGTGGTTGTGCAAAAAAAAAAACAAAAAAAAAAACTATCTAAGCCAAAACATGATCTTTTTCTAACCATAATTACGTGTTTTTTTTGCCTAAACATAACTCCAAGTTAAAGGCGCTGTATGTAAGAATGTGGCCAAAATGGTTACTGCACTCAAATTCAAAATACTGCCGTGAGTCGTGTCCACCCCCCCTCCCCTGCAGACGCAACCAACACGCAGCTGGTGGAAATTGGGGGTGATTTGTTTGCCCACGGGCGGCTGCCGTGGCAGTCTTGGCATTTTTGGGAATCATAACGAGGTTGTTTGGGTTTAGTTGCACCGTCAGCCATTGTAGCTCAGTCGTAACTGTAACTGATGCTGAGACTCTACTGACTGCATGACTGGTAGACAGCGGTGGGTGGCGCAACAGGCCAAAACACAAATTCAAAACATAAACATGATTTGCAGACCGTAAAAAAATGTTTTAAATACGAATATTCTGGCTGTACTATTGTTGTCGGTGAGATCAGTATGTTATATGAACATTATTCCTTAGTCTCTGTGACATATTAGGAGGATTTTACGACTATTTGCTTTAGATTTCTTACATATAGCTCCTTTAACCACAGCATTGTTGAAACATAAAAAAACCCAAAAACATACATCATACATTATACGTTACAATATTTTCTAGTCACAATTGTGGCATCAATACTTTGCGTGTTTTTTTCGCAAGACATTGGACATTTGTGTGTTTTTTAGTGAGACTTCATGGCTCTTCTATTGTGGCACCCAAAACATGTGTTTTTCAGCAAGACATTGGGAATACCTCCAGCTGTTGTTGTGTCACCAAAACCAGGAGTTTTTTATTCGGGCATTGGTAGTCGTGACTGTGGCACAAAAGGTGTTTCAGCAAGACATTGAGGCATTTCTATAGCACAGATTGTAGCGTCTAAAATGTGTTTTTTTTTAGCGGGACATTGGCAGCACCTCCAACTCTGACTGTGGCCCCAAAATCAGAAGTTAGCAAGACATTGCGGCATGACTGTGGCAACAAAACTAGATGTTTTTTAGCAAGACATTGGGTATTTCTACTTGCAATGGTGGTACCTAAACTGTGTGTTTTCTAGAAAGATACGGATGTATTTTTAGCCACGTGTCTGCCACCACAACTGTGTTTTTTTAGATGCACATTAGGGCAATGTTAGCTGTGATTGTGGCACCAAAACTGGGTGTTATTTTAGTGAGACAACAGGGCATTTTCAGTGGTGGCTGTGCAACAGATCCAAGTATTTTAAGCCAAACATGATCTTTTCCTAACCCTAGTCTAGAGATTGTGTTGCCTAAACATAACCAAAAGTTAATGACAGCATTGTTTGAACATATCCTCAACGTATATAACATAATGTTACACATCAGTGGGTGGAGAAATGCACTATGAGAACTTATTCTCATAGTGCATTATTACTTATTCTGGCAATTGGATTGATGATAAAGCAAGCTAGTAGCATATTTGGGCTGTTCTGTAGTTTTTATTTATATGCAGAAGGTGAAGAGGAAGTTGTTTTAGGTAAGATTATAAAAAAACACAATATTCCCTTTGCCTCCTCTGTCAGTATTATTTTGTTCCTTCATTATTGCCATTGGTATTTTGAGACCTTGGCATACTGCCTCTTAAAAATCTGTCTTTAATCTGTCCCCCAGCAGAAATTCCCTTTACAAATGGAGATGTTTAACACTGGCCCTGAAGTGTATTTGCTCCTGCTTTTAGGAGAATCTGAGGTCCTCAGGAATGTACTGAGGTTCGATGAAGTATTGAATCACTGTGTGTTACATAAATTCATAATTGTCTGTTTCTCACTGAGGGAACATTACACCAGTCAAATTAAAGCTTAACGTGGTCACGACAATATGAAGCAGATTTACGTGATTGTTGTCTGTAACATCTAATACATGCAGCTACATGTGTATGGTTGTCACCGTGCAGAAGAGAACATGTGAGGCGCATTATGTCTCCATTCAGTCATGTCCTGTGGAAACGTCCCTGACAAATACCCAGAACTGCTACCAACTAGAAATACACACAAAACATCAGCTAAATGCTTTAAGTTTCAGTGGAAGCGTACGGAAGTAAAGGCAGTAAACAAGTGTTAGTCATGAGACTGAGGAAGTGTTTGCTACCAGCACACAAGAGCCGACAGATCAAGAGTTCAATGGCAATGTATTCTTAGAAACAGGAAGCCTGCAATACATCCACTGGTCTGATTTCCACTGAGGTAAATAAAGGGAGGTAGGTCTGGTGTTGTGATCGGTAAACAACAAAAACATCTTTACCCTCACATGTGCATGCTTCAAGTTCCCTTTTTTGTTTAATTTCTGTTTTAAAGGAAATGTGTGCCATCAGAAACCACACAGGATACTATCTCTCTTGATGTGGCAGGATGCAAGTTAAAAGTCGTGCTGTAAAAACGCCAGATGTTTAGTGTTGTACACAAAATAAAATGGGAGAGGACGGCCTCATGATGCCCCATGCACTGTCCAAAAACCACAGTCCTTGGTGCATTGAGGTCATGACTACACAAGGCGTGCAAGTAGCTCGTAAATATTACTCGCAATGATAAACGGCCACACATGCTTCTGATCACCATGTGTTTGCAGACGGATTTAAAGAAAAGTTAAGTGCTTTAGCAGCGTCTGTGTTCTGAATTTGATGAATGATGCACTGCATGGATATAGCACTTTTCCTCTGGGATTTCCTAATTGCACCTGGTCGCATATACATTTCTGGACGAGGAACAGACAACAACACGCCCTGCTTTGTCTGGAAACTATTCACTTCAGTGGGAAACGTTTTCTAAGGACAGACGAGGAAATCCCACCCTTAATTAAATATGTGGGAAAGAAAATACACTTAGATATTTACAGTAGAAGAGACACTGAGGAAAGGACTCTTTTTTGAGTCTCAGTTTCAAACAGCTTGTTTTTATTTACAGCATTTCTTCAGTATAAACAAGCATTTATTGACAAAACTATGTTACAAAAATTAAAATGAGAAAATCTTTTGTAACACCTCCAACATGGGAAAACACACATCTGTGTTTATAGTATACAAATTTCTTTTAACATTAAGGCTCATTCTGGACATTGGGAAAACATATCTGTAGTAAAAAATTTTCTAAACTCAAGGTTCCCTTACTAGCTTTTACGAGGGCTTTCAATCATATTCCATGACCACAGAATATGGTTGAAAGCTCCAGAGAAAGCTGAACCTTGAGTTTAGAATATTAAAATACATTGATCATTTTTTTCCTTCTCTATTATAGCTCAATGTATTAGCAATACTATTATTACTGATACAATGTGTATTGCAAAAATGCACAGATGTCTGCAAAGCAAAGCTAGACTCATCTTTGTGAAGAGGTTTTGTTTTAAAATAGCTGTATAGTGTACAACATTAGAACATTAATATAGCAGCAAACAACTATTTGTTATGTAAAGATATAGTGGAGTAAAGCAACACATTCTCACTGCGACCTCGTGACTATAGACATTTGGTCATAGACCTTCACGTCCAGATACGACGTGGAAGGTACCCTAGGTGCACTGGCCATTGACGTTATGGGAAGCCATTTCACAAGAAATGTGAAGCACATAGGAACATGGTTAGGTTAGGTTTAGGAAAAAAGAACAGAGTTTGGCTTTACAATCATACGAGAAGTGAACACCACTTTCCCGGGTGAAAGTCAGTGTTTGTTGGACCCATCCAGCACCCCTCCCATCCACTCGGACTTTCAATGCCTTAACTTTCGTTCTTGTCCCACCACATTTCCCCCTGATGCTGCCAAGTGCTGTTAAACTATAACAGCGACTGGCTGCGTATCACGCCAATGTTAAAGGACAGCTTTTTTCGTCATGACTTCAGAGTGAGAAAGGGTTGAGTAATGGCATCCTAAACAGAGAATGAAGCCATGCAATCTCTGTGTGTATAGCAGTCTGAGTTTCTCTGTTAATATTTGTAGCAGACGGTCCCTGTGTGTATTGACTAGCTAACTGCTGTTGCCCTGCACTGGAGAGGGTACCACTGATAACACTGTCCTGATCCACAGTGTAGTCAGGAATGTATGGTATCCACCCACTAGTTCCCCCTTACGTTAACTGTTAGCTCTAACTGCTAGTTCTGTCAGCACTGTTACTGTTAGCATTGGTATCTTTGAGTGAACTCAGCCACCTCCATGTTGAGAACCGTGTGTAGACAGCCTGAATAAGACTCTGAATCAGGCACCCAAGAACAGCGCCAGGCTTTGGAGCCAGTTTTACATAGTGACCAAGAGTGGAACAACAACAACCATGTGATGCCAGTCGGCCCAGAATTTTTTTTTTTTTCTGTCCAATGACAATTCAACAATCTAGACGAGTGATTATCTCATTTTTATCCCCATTCAAGTTTGCCTAGTCGAGCACTAAATGGGAAGTTAGCTGCTTGCCCAGCAGAAGTAAGCCGCTCGACCAGTGGAAGTCTCTTGTACCCTTACTATATGGGCCCCTTAATGTGCACAATGCGTGTAATTTTACACCACAGAAATCAAGGTTTTTTTGGCTTCATGGACCACTGACCAACTTTCTCTATATACATCCATGCTCTGAATGTTGTATACTGCTCCTTTAAAGAAATAGTTTGACATTTCAGATATTAGATGAGAAGATTGATACCACTCTCAGACATGAGAGTGGTATCAATCACCCAAGAAAACAAATAAGTGTGTTTTTCAAAACTGTCTCAAGAAATGTATGCCACTTATCAGACAATAACGCCTGAACAATGTAGCCTAACACATATATATCCAGTGTAATATCTAATAAATATCTGTGTCCACTATCGAGCACATTCAGATATATTTAGGTTTCTTTAATAGCATAATACCTGTGGCAGAGAGATAGTCTTTTCTTCTAAAAATCAGTTCAGAAATCATAGTAGAAATCATGTCTTGTAAATTGTTATAGTACACATTCAGTATAATGAAAAACAGAAATAGTATGCCTATGTATTTGGATTAGATTTAGATTTAGATTAAATTTAGAAGAATGGTTCAGCATTTGGGGAAATAATTCTTGCAGAAAGTTATCCAGCAAGCTTTATAGAAGCTAAGCTTTATAGCTTAAATCTACCCTTCAAACTCTCAGTAAGAAAATGAATAAGTGTACTTCCTGTTTTGGAGGGCTGAAACCTGCAGCTCTTCATGCATCAGGAAAGATATTTTTTATCTCTAACTGGAGGTGACAAACTTTATCTTATCAGTGAATCAACATACGTCAGTTCCTGCTGAATCTGTTTCCTGAACACTGAAACATTGACCTTTTCTTTATCTAAAAACATCTTATCCTTATCAATATACTACTATGAATTAAAGTGTAACATGAGTAATGTACAATAATGTGTTAGCTGACTAGAAAAATATACAGAGTACACAAAAGGCTATGTATTTTGTGCCTTGATATATGTCATATTCAAATATATGTACAAACATGCATTTTTCAGTCATATTTGTCTCTGTGATAATCTCACAATCAAATCTCCAGCATTTTGGAATAATCAGACATGAAGCAAGAAAATAAAAACAGTGAGTCTAACGGAGCATTAACTTAAAAGATACTGTAAGACAATGTAAGCTTATGTTTCTAACAACAAGTCCTCCAACCCATACAAACACAAAGGCTGTTTGTTCCTATCCTCTAATACAACCCACAGGAGCACATCCTAAATTAGCGTCCATACTGGTAGCAGGTGATCAACACATGTCCTCATACCAAAACAAAAAAAAAGTTTGTGTATGATGCATATGCCATGTATACATGTTCATTTATCACCAAAGCATTTATCAGTAAAACAGTTAAAATCGCCAAAAGTTTGACTAATTGCGTCGCAGGACATTTTAAGTGTGCCCCTAAATTTTCTGCGTGTGCTCCTAAAATTTTCATTTAGGGGCTACAGTGCTCCAACTAAAGGAAAGTCAGTGGAGCCCTAGTTATGTGGGTTATGTTAGATTGTTAAGTACGTTAGGTAAGTTAACTTATGTACCTAATTAAAATAAGTCAACACAGGGCATGAACAGCAGTCTCCTGGGTCAAAGTCCTGTGTTAGTTTGATCAATCTATCCACCCCGACATCCTTCCTATGTGAATTTTGTTGCTCTTGATATCTCATCAACTTCTGCCTTTGCTCCTGTCATAATTACAACAGCCACTAGAGGTCTAACAATAAACGTAAATATGGGTTGCAGTAAGCTGCTTGTACAAATGACATGTGGGGTCTGACAACATTTTAGTTTTTTGTCTTTTTTTTTTTTACTCAGCTAAAGAAAGTAATACATACATAGGAAACTCTGAGTTGCGTGCCTTGAATTCATAAGTGGTAAAGCAGGAATGATGTGTGTGTGTGTTTGTACTTTTTTATATTTTAAATGTGTAGTTCTGTGTGGTACTATCAACAGAAATAATGGTACTTTGTTCTGTTATGTTCTTAAACACATAAAGTCTGCCATCTTTGCTCTTCATGCTTGCCAGTAGGTTAACTCCTAGAAACTATAGCTCCGGTTGTGCCCACTGATCTTTGCATTAACCAAAGAGATTATTATATGTGCTTATAACTAAAACCTGAAATGATTTTTCAGATTTTGCAAGTCTTTCAACAGGGTTCTCATGCATTTCCTTCCCACACTCACTGTTTAAATTTTAAATTCAGCAATACCCTTAAAAAATGCCCAAAAAAACAACTTTGCAAGATTCTAAGAGTCAGCTCAACAGCATGGATTCTTCTCACCGATGCCTCTTCAAGTTAATTCCACATGATGCAAAAAAGCATTAATTCCTCATGTTAATGCTTGAGGGTCTTCCTTTTGTCCAGTAACAGCCCCTTTGAATATTCATTGGAAGTAACTAATGAAGAAGAACCAGAATCTTAGGTGTCAAGCTCCTTCTGTTTTAGTAATATTCATGAGAAAAAGTTTTTTAAAAAGTGAAATATCTGAGTTTTAGTTGCTGGAAGTCGGGGAAAAATCAAAAAAGAGAAAAGTTTGCACTCAGGTGCCATGAACAGTAGTAAAACTCCAAGAAAAAAAAGTAACATCTTGGGAAAAGTCAAAGAAACATTGATCCCTCACACGAAAGGACTGTCCGATCTGAATATGTCCGAGTAGCTCTTGCCGTTCATGTGCTCAGTGTGGCTTTCGATGCTATAGCAGCGGTGGACCTCTGTGAGCGACGACGCCACGGAAGACGCCGAGCGGAAGAAGTCGGCATTGGCGAAGGTGCCAGCGAACTGCATCCGCTGCTGGTTCCAGTGTCTCCGCAGAACACTCTGCACCTGCAAAATGAGACATAAAGATTAGGGCTGTAGTCAACCAAAGAAAATCTTGGTCGACTAAAGTCACACATAATCTTCAACTAATCGATAAGTCGTGGGGAAAAAAACAATCTTCATGTTATTTTTACTTCTGCAGTGGTGTGTCTGTGTCACTCTGCAGTTACATCTCCAAAACACTAGTCGGTGGTGGAGGACTGTGTTAAGTGCTGTAAAGTGTAGTTCAAATCAATCTTTATTTATACAACCTTAGTTGATTCAAAACACACATTAAACATGGCTTAACAGAGACAATTTCAAAGTATGCAAATTGGCTTCACTATAAATCGCAGAACTGACAGACAAACACTTGTCTTTATCTGGACACTTTGCCCCACCAATACAACATACTAACGTTATTAGCGCAAGTCTATGGCATTTTACATTGTATAAATTAGCCTAGCGTCTAGCGATCTTTTCCTCTTCTCATATTAAACCAGGGACAACAGAGACATTTAACAAAGGTAACGGCACACAGTTTGGCTCCATTACAACTCACAACATTCACTGACAAAACAACTGTCTTATACTAAACACATTTTCCAAGCAAATACAACATGCTAACGTTATTAGCGCCAGCCTATGGCATTTTATATTGTATAAATTAGCCTAGCAACGAGCAGAGATTTCCTCTGTTCATATAAAGCCAGGATAAATCCCTAAGAATAAATCCCTTAAGGATAAATCACACACAAGACTTAAAATGCTATTTTAGAGGAGGCTTTACTGTCTTCACAATTTATTACTTGTATTTATATATATACAAGTAAATACAAGCTTCGTTTCCACTGAGTGAAGGAGGTCTGCGTCACCGTGATGCCACTGTTGCCAACTCCTCAGTAAGAAAAGTAGCTATTGGCTGTCCTAAAAGTCGCTAGAAGTTGCTAAATGACATAATCGCCTAATTTACATAATTGTCCATATGCATGTAATTGTAATGGCTGCTGTAGGAGAGAGGAATAATGTCGTGGGAGAGACAAAAAAAAGTAAAGTAAAGTAAAAAAACACCCTGAATATGTTTAGAACTACAAATGAACCTTCTTTCAGTGATTTATATTAGACAAAGAAAATTTTACATTTACATCCCGCCCTGACTGTAAACCAGGTCGGGATCAGCCAGTGGCGGTACATCTCCTGCTCTGACTGCTGCTGGGAGGGAGGACTGGGCCGTCTGTGAGTGCTTTGGGGCGAGGGAAGGGCCCACGGCAGCATCCGCTGCTCGTTGAGAAGAATAAGAATGATATGTGCTCTCACAACAGAGTCTCCAGAAGTCTTCAATAACATCAGAAAAAGTCGCTAGATTTGTCGCTAGTCGCTTTTTTGAAAAAGAGTCGCTAGAGGGGTCTGAAAAGTCGCTAAATATAGCGAGAAAGTCACTAAGTTGGCAACACTGCGCGACGCTGAGCATGAGGGTGGGCGAGTTCAACTTTCTGTCAACAACGGAGGTGTTTTGAAAACACCCCCATTTTCACAGGTAACTTAGCCTGTCCCTCCCGCCCAGGAAATAATGGATTAATCCTGGAAAGCTGTTGATGTAGCACTTTTCTCCTTATGAAAGTAACACAGCGATTATTCAATGAATGAGAATTTGGTCGGATGAGAGCATAGCGACCAAAAATCGACTAGTCGACCAGGAGACTACAGCCCTAATAAAGATTATGTAAGAAGGATGGCAGAGATTGCACCATTCACATTCACCCTCTTCGAAAGTTATTAGCTCATGGCTGCAGTTTTGTTAGTTCAGGTGCAAAAACTATGTGGTTGAGGTGGGTTATGGATTGAGTTATGCAGGATTTACACCTCTGCGTCAAATCGACGCTGTACCTATGGTGTAGAATAATGTGCACCTCCCCAGAAATGTAACTACATGTCGCAGTGACGCAGACCTACTGTCTGTTTTAGTAAGCTGAAACCATTTCCCTCAGTGGAAACAAAGCTGTTATTTACTTTTATTTCACAGATAAGAAACAATAAATTGTGAAAACAATAAAGCCTCCACAAAATATCATTTTAAGTCTTGTGTGTGATTTATCCTTCAGGGATTTTTTACATCAGGATTTATTCTGGCTTCATATGAGCAGAGGAAATCTCCACTCGCCCCTAGGCTAATTTATAGCCTACAATGTTAAATGTCATAGACTTGTGCTAATAACATTAGCATGATGTATTTGTCTGGAAAATGTGTTTAGAATAAGACAATTGTTTTGTTGGTGAACCTTGTGAGTTGTAATGGAGCCGAATTTTGTAACGTGACCTTTGTTAAATGTTGCTGTTGTCCCTGGCTTCATGTGAGTAGAGGAAAAGTTTGCTAGCCGCTAGGCTAATTTAGACAATGTAAAATGCCATAGGTTGGTGCTAAAACATTAGCATGAACTATAATGAAGCCGATATGTGTACTTGAGTTTGAAATTGTCGCTATTAAGCCATGTTTAATGTTTGTTTTGGGTGTTTTTTGAATCAACTTAACTTTACAGCACTTCACAGAAATCCCACCGCCAACTAGTGTTTTGGAGGTGTAACTACAGAGTGACACAGACACACTTCTTCACAAGTATAAATGCTTACAGTGGCATAGGCCACGTGTGTCTGCTATGTAGGCTACAGCTTAGGGTCTGCATAGAGCTGACACACAAGTAGTTCCACTTTAGGGTTAGGGTTACATTCAAAGCAGGTGTCACATTTCATCTTATTTTTTGGAAGACTGCAATCAAAAAGATTTTAAATGCATTTATATCCATATTTAAAGCTCTCCATCAAGATCTGTAGCTGCCACTGAGGTAAATTAGGTCATATAATATTTTTTTCTGAATGTGAATGCTTTGAAATTGAAAATTGAAATGACTTATAGTGGATTTTTGGGTTATAGAGTTATAGGACCACCTCTGAAACGAGATGCTACAGGTATATATCAAGTGGCTACCCTTTCAATAATTTCAAATTCAATCATTTAAATGTATTCCTACCAGCACGGAAAGGGACTTTTGAACAACAGTCAAGATGATACATTAGCTGAATAAAAAATATATGAAAAATCCAGCAACTGGGGAAAGTCATAACTTAAGTATCTCTAATGTCCTGGCCCCATGTCAATCTGTGATTCATGCTGCATTTTAGTGCCAAGCGTGAACACGTCAATGTTCCTATTAAAAGCCATGTCTCAAAGCGTCAAAAATGTGAATGAGAACTCAAGAATGATGTTTTCATAAACTACTCCTAAAATGATCCAGAGCTTAATAACCCTTAATAATAAGCTTAATTAAGTGAGAATTAAGTGGGTAGCAAATTCAAAATCTAACCTTGAAATGTGAGATGCTGTGTTGCAGTCATAATATGCTAAACCAAGCTTATTACTCACCTCCCCATTGAAGAAGCAGAATATTGTAGAGACCAAGAGACCCTGCATGAGAAAAAAGTTTCTTGAGAAAATACACAAGTTAGGAATTCCCTTAAGCTCAAACAGCTGCTCACAGTGTCACATGTTCATGCTCTTATTCTACAAATATTTGTAATTTTAAACCACAAAATTACTGAGGATTTTGCCATTGGGTAGTTCTACAACAAGCCTGCACCCACAGTAGAGCTCTTAATATCATGTATTTGTGATTTTTATTGGGTAAAAGCAAAGTTGTATTTGTTGGATAATGCAACTTAAAATCATGGGTGGATAATGAGACAGTGGGCCATTGGCCACAGGCCCCAGCACCTGTTCTACCTAGGAGAAAGGTACACAGACTTTGTGACAGTTTTGTGTCTCTTTAATCATTTTTGTCTCTTTGAGATCATTTGTGTGTCTTTTTTGTCATTTTGTGTCTCTTTGAGATGATTTTGTGTTCTTTGTAGTCATTGTACGTCTCTTCAAAGTCATTTTTTATCAGTTTTTTTAATGTCTCTTTGTAGTGATTTTCATTTTGTACGTCTTTGTAGTCATTTTGTGTCTCTCTTGGTCCTTTGTTATCGCTTTGTAGTCATTTTACATCTCTTTAAAGTGTTTTATGTCTTTTTGAGATCATTTTGTGTTATTTTTGGTCAGTTTGTGTCTTCTTTGGTTATTTTTGTGTGTCTTTGTAGTAATGGTGCTTCTCTTTGAGTTCATTTTGTGTCTCTTTGTAGTGTTTTTGTTTGTCTTTGTAGTCATTTTGCGTCTCTTTGGAGTCATTTTGCATCTCTGTAGTCATTTTCACTATAAAGTCATTTTGTGTCTCTTTGTGGTGATTTTGTGTTTGTTTAAAGTCATTTTGAGATTTCTGTGTCTTTTTGTAGCCATTTTGTGTCTTCTTCGGTTATTTTTATGTCTCTTTGTAGTCATTCTGCATCTCTTTAAAGTCATTTTGTATCTCTTTGAGATCATTTTGTGTAATTTTTGGTCGTTTTGTGTCTTCTTTGGTTATTTTTATTTGTAGATGTTTCGTACCTCTTTGTAGTGATTTGTGTCTCTTTGTAGTCATTTTTGTTCTCTTTAAGTTCATTTTGTGTCATTTTGGTCGTTTGGTGTCTGTAGTCATTTTGTGTCTCTTTTAAGTAATTTTGTGTCTTTTTGGTCGTTAGGTGTCTCTTTGATGCCTTTTGTTTTTGTCTCTTTGAAGTAATTTTGTGTCTTTTTTAGTCAATTGGTGTCTCTTTGCAGTTGTTTTGTGTGTCTTTGTAGTCATTTGCCTCTGTTTAAAGTGATTTTGTGTCTCTTTGAAGTAATTTCTTGTCTTTTTTGGTCATTTTGTTCCTCTTTAAAGCATTTTTGGTCGCTTGGTGTCTATTTGTTGCCATTTTTGTCGCTTTGTACTCATTTTGTATCTTTCTGAGTTGTTCTGTGTCTCTCTGTGGTTGTTTTACCTTTGTGGTAAATTTGTGTCTCTTGACAGTTCCTTAGCAACTCTTTGCGGTAATTTTGAGTCTCTTCCTGGTCATTGACTTTTTGCCAGTGCAAGTCAGGGGCCGCCTGACACTTTAGGCCTATTTGGTAATCCATCCATGCTTATAAAGCACTTCTCACACCTTAACACTGACCTGGTAGTGCATAAGGATCTCCATGACATACAGGTAGATCTCAGAGACCCAGTCATCCTGAGGCTTGTAGGGGAGCAAGACAAACTGGATGCCGAGCAGAGGGATGAGGATGAGGGTTGCTCTCACGGCCCTCATGTAGAGGCTGGACTCGGCCTGGTGCGTCACTCTCAGCTTGGTGATGAGAACCCGAACGATGTTGAGCAGGAAGAAAAGATTCACCTGGAATCAAAGAGGCAAAAAAAAGGTATAAGACTATAGTTTGACACAGTGGCAGCCATTTTCATCACTTTCATGATGACAAAACAAGCAAGAAGTGAAAATGGCTACATAACAGGCCTGCAGAGCATCGGCAGAGTCATTAAGTAATTCCCATGTGGGCTCAGTGCTTACCACCAGTGCTGCACAGATGGGGCCGTGGATAATGTACAGCAATGACGTATCTGAGCTGACCCAACATCTGTGGATGCATGAGTCAGATCACCACATCATGTACTACAGAAACATGTGACTTAGATGCTGTGATATCTCACATGTCAAGACTAAAGACTCACTTGTCGTTGTAGTAGCAGTGGCGTGCTATTGAATGTATCACCGCTGGCACAAGTGGAAAACCTGCAAAATCAAATTAGAATTTTGATAACGTTTGACGTTATTACTGTGTGAAAATGGTGAAATATTATCTTTACTTACCCCAGCCCAGCAGATGATACCACATGAGATACTGTTTTTCTGCAAACACTGCCACAACAATCAGAGTGTGCAGGTAGATGCCCTCGCAGAGCATCCAGAAGTAGTTACAGCTCAACAGATACAGGTGGATGAACATGAGCAGCTTACAGCTCGCCTGGAAGGATAAAAGCAACATGAGCTCCACTGTTTTTACTGGAATAGAATACCAAGCAATGTCTGAACAGAAAGTCGATCACTCACCGAATCATTGTAGGTGTGTCCCTGTTTCTTTACCACTGTTGTAAGCCAGACAACGGTGATGATGGAGTTTAACACGAATGAGAGGAAGAGGTTTTTGTGGAGCGTTATCCTCTGGCAGCTCAGACTCCTGAGGGCAGCAGAAAAGGAGACAAACGTTTGCCACATATTCATTAGCTTGATCCAGGTCTTAATTCTTGTCCTTTTACACCGAACCACAGCATTTGATACAACTGACCATGACATCTCAATAATTAATCTTGAAAAGTTGGTTTGTCTTTCTCACTGTGTGAAATTGGTTCAAAACATACACTGAAGGGTTGGAGATCATGTGTCTGAGAAACATGACCTCTGTTTTGGAGTTGCACAAGGGAGCTGCTTTGGTCCATTATTATTCTCACTGTACATGCTGCCACTTGGTAACATCATTAGAGAACACAATGTTTGTTTCCATAGTTACACGGATGACACGCAACTGTACATCTCTGCTGAACCAAACAATGCTGCAGCCATAAACTCCATTACTACCTGCCTTTTGGCAGTAAATAAATGGATGAGCAATAATTTCTTAAAGTTAAATTAAGACAAAACTGAAATCCTGCTTGTCAGCCCCTTAACAAAACGAGAAATGTTGCTTAATAATTTGGGGAATTTAACTCCCTTGATTAAATCAGAGGTTAGAAGTCTGGGTGGAATTGATTCTAACCTGGGCTGGGACTGAGCCACATCGCCAACTCCCTTGTTAACTATTTGCCATGGACGTTGTTAGACCTGGCCATTCCAGGCTATAGCCCTAGATCTTTTGGGCTCAGCCTCAGTTTTTTTTTTTTTTTTTTTTTTTACTAATAAAGCACATCATTTCCAGCAATGCAGAAAGCACAGCAGCACACTACACACTCACTGTCACACCAGCTTACATGGCATATGACTATATGTTTGATTTTTTGTTTCTGTAAATCCCTAATGATGTTTAGTATATACACATACAACTGTCCGTTTCATTTTTTTCATCTATTTCCCACTCCAAACTGACTACACGCACACACACATCTAAATTTAGAACATGGCACTCTTAAATACTTGATTCTGATTGGTCAATCAACAAAATTCTGCGGTGTTTATTTCTTGAGGTATCGCCACTGCTCTGTTGCTCCGTTGCTAGGGACGCCATAGCAACGGCCTTAGACTGAGGAGCGCCAAAATCAGTTAACGTTAGTCCACACAGGCCAAATAGGATCGGAGTGGAAATGGAAACGTACCTACTGAATGTATACACATGCTGCTTTTGTTTTTTAATGATTATAACAGTGAAACAAAGACTGACCCTGCTGTACAGGAACCAGTGAAGGGAAGCAGGGAAACTTTGCTCATATTCAACCAGCTGTGTGTCAACACATTGTGTGCAGATGAACGTTGTTTGACTTCTTCCGCAGCCCCCCGACAGCTGCCAGTCTGGGTGCCGGGAGCGGCATGGAGGTGAAGCTAAACACTGTTCATCTGCACACACTGTGTTACCTTGATTTCATTGCTGTGGCAGTCTGATATCCTGAATATATCCTTCAAATGCATATTGTAGAAATTTGAGAGTAATTTTCCAGGGATTGCAGTTAGCAACAGTGGGTGCACCATGCCAGTCTAGCTCCGAAACCGAAAGTTTGTCGGACTTAGCAACAGTAGACTAACTAAGGGGGGCGGGCCTTAGCGAAGGGTGAATTCAATATTAATTAGTATCATTAGACTGCCGTTGCCATGGATACAGAGTATAGACACATTTCTATTTACGAATTTTGAATCAATAAAATGTGCTTTAATCATTATTTTGTGTCACATCACTGAATGTTTTAGTAGTAAGCCATGTTCTAAGCAGGATAATGTATAGTGGTACCGAATGGAACCCCGCCTCGGGATTTATTTTTCAACTGTCACTGGCTCACTATACATTATTCTGCTTAGAACATGGCTTACTACTTTTTTCTTCTAGTTGTTTGTGCTGGTTTGCTCCTGATGGCCCTGCGATTTTCTCTTCCTTTCTTTTTTTTTTTTTGTTGGGGACATGTCCCTAGCAACGGAGCAGCAGAGCAGTGGCGATACTTCAAGAAATAAACACCGCAGAATTTTGTTGATTGACCAATCAGAATCCAGTATTGAAGAGTGCCATGTTCTAACAGGTTTTAACCAACAATTTGGGCAACCCAATAATAGAAGACGAGTGCTCATTCTTTGTCAAAATATGTTAAAATCACATGGAATTATTCAAAATTTTCCTGGGGGAGAAACCCTTGGGTAAAGAATTGTTCCCACTTCAGGGATAAAGCCCCAGATGTTTTCAACTCCTAGCAACGCCCCAGGCCTCCATGAACACTGCAATCATCTGCTGCTGGTTTATGCAACAGCCGGAAGAAGATCTGGGATGCAGCCTTTGTCAATAATGCCCCAAAGCTATGGAACACATTACCTATCAGGGAAGCTAGCTCGCTAAATATTTTTAAATGAAAGCTATGTATCTGTTTACTCTTTTCAAATCTTACTTGATTTTATGATTTATAGTTTTACAGATCTATGATTTTATGAATCAGTTCTGTTTGATTGTGTTCTGTTCATTCTGTCTATTCTCATGCAAAGCACCAAGGGCTTATACTGCCCTTATTGTAAAGCACTGTGTGCGGCATTTCTTGTCTAAAAGGTGCTATGTAAATAAATTGTCTTATTGTTGTTGTTGTTGTTGTTATTATTATTATTATTATTATTATTATTCAATTTGTCATGAAAATCAACAATTAACATTAAAATTCATTTTAATCTTGACAACTGTCAACTGAGTCAAGTGCAGCTATGCAAGAAATAAAGAAAATTATAAATAAAATAACATTAAAAATGAAATGATTTTTTTAAAATCTATAATATACAGTAAGTACGAGCTTTATTGGGCACAATTACCTAATAGATTTATTAGTGTTACCTTATATTATAATGTATACAGTACAGGCCAAAAGTTTGGACACACCTTCTCATTCAATGCGTTTTCTTTATTTTCATGACTATTTACATTGTAGATTCTCACTGAAGGCATCAAAACTATGAATGAACACATGTGGAGTTATGTACTTAACAAAAAAAGGTGAAATAACTGAAAACATGTTTTATATTCTAGTTTCTTCAAAATAACCACCCTTTGCTCTGATTACTGCTTTGCACACTCTTGGCATTCTCTCGATGAGCTTCAAGAGGTAGTCACCTGAAATGGTTTTCCAACAGTCTTGAAGGAGTTCCCAGAGGTGTTTAGCACTTGTTGGCCCCTTTGCCTTCACTCTGCGGTCCAGCTCACCCCAAACCATCTGGATTGGGTTCAGGTCCGGTGACTGTGGAGGCCAGGTCATCTGCCGCAGCACTCCATCACTCTCCTTCTTGGTCAAATAGCCCTTACACAGCCTGGAGGTGTGTTTGGGGTCATTGTCCTGTTGAAAAATAAATGATCGTCCAACTAAACGCAAACCGGATGGGATGGCATGTCGCTGCAGGATGCTGTGGTAGCCATGCTGGTTCAGTGTGCCTTCAATTTTGAATAAATCCCCAACAGTGTCACCAGCAAAACACCCCCACACCATCACACCTCCTCCTCCATGCTTCACAGTGGGAACCAGGCATGTGGAATCCATCCGTTCACCTTTTCTGCGTCTCACAAAGACACGGCGGTTGGAACCAAAGATCTCAAATTTGGACTCATCAGACCTAAGCACAGATTTCCACTGGTCTAATGTCCATTCCTTGTGTTTCTTGGCCCAAACAAATCTCTTCTGCTTGTTGCCTCTCCTTAGCAGTGGTTTCCTAGCAGCTATTTGACCATGAAGGCCTGATTCGCGCAGTCTCCTCTTAACAGTTGTTCTAGAGATGGGTCTGCTGCTAGAACTCTGTGTGGCATTCATCTGGTCTCTGATCTGAGCTGCTGTTGACTTGCGATTTCTGAGGCTGGTGACTCGGATGAACTTATCCTCAGAAGCAGAGGTGACTCTTGGTCTTTCTTTCCTGGGTCGGTCCTCATGTGTGCCAGTTTCGTTGTAGCGCTTGATGGTTTTTGCGACTCCACTTGGGGACACATTTAAAGTTTTTGCAATTTTCCGGACTGACTGACCTTCATTTCTTAAAGTAATGATGGCCACTCGTTTTTCTTTAGTTAGCTGATTGGTTCTTGCCATAATATGAATTTTAACAGTTGTCCAACAGGGCTGTCGGCTGTGTATTAACCTGACTTCTGCACAACACAACTGATGGTCCCAACCCCATTGATAAAGCAAGAAATTCCACTAATTAACCCTGATAAGGCACACCTGTGAAGTGGAAACCATTTCAGGTGACTACCTCTTGAAGCTCATGGAGAGAATGCCAAGAGTGTGCAAAGCAGTAATCAGAGCAAAGGGTGGCTATTTTGAAGAAACTAGAATATAAAACATGTTTTCAGTTATTTCACCTTTTTTTGTTAAGTACATAACTCCACATGTGTTCATTCATAGTTTTGATGCCTTCAGTAAGAATCTACAATGTAAATAGTCATGAAAATAAAGAAAACGCATTGAATGAGAAGGTGTGTCCAAACTTTTGGCCTGTACTGTATATGTGGCATACAGATGTTTGTATATAGCAAGTTGTAAGAGGTCCTTATAATCCCCTTTTCTGGTGTTTATAATCACACCTTGACCATTTATATTAGCATCTGGAAGAAATTGAGTATCTGGAGCATATTACATATAATCTATGTAAGTAACTCCTGATTTTATTGATTATTGTCATGGAAGAACCCTTTATTAATGATTAACTGCAGCAGCCTTGATGGCGAGAAACTCATGGCCATCTTTTAGTCTGAAGTCATGAATGGAAATAAATTATTCACCAAAAGTCATATAGATTTCTTATTCTCATTATGTATTGAGTGATAAATGTTAAATTTGATTTTTGGTTTCGGATAAGCAGGGGTATTTAAAGTTGACTTGAAAGCTAATACACATTTGATGTTTCCTGCTTTTAATCAAAAAGTTTTGTCCCAATACGCGTTTTGTATTTGCCAACTAGGATGTGGGATGGGCAGTGCCAAGCTGGAACTCTCTTAGGGCTCATTTATGCTCCCTTTACGTACGAAAACGATGTTACCGTCACTGCCCACATACTTCCATGCGCCCTTTATGTTGGCACGGATGTTAACCAATATATCCACCAGGAGGCAGCCCAGCATCAAAGGTTTATGACAACAACAAACTCAAAAACAAACATGGCGACTGTGGAGGAGATATTGATAATGTACCTCTTGCATAAAAGACAAAAACAGAGGCAGCGTTGTAGGAGGCGGTGATCAGTGACGCCGTTAAATACATCGCGACTGGAGGACGGAGAATTCTTTTCTCTAGTACTGCCGATGAGAGAAATTGAATTGTTATTTCTTCTTCGTGTCTCACTAGAGCTACGTATCGGGTAGTGACAGCAATACTGCCCCCACGGTTCCCGGTGGTACTGCTCCGTTTGGCCCGTATCCGTAAGCTTTATGGAAACGTGCAGAAATACTTACGAAATGAACGCAGAGCACGGACAGAAGGCTCTGTCCGTATCCGGATCCGTATTCAACGTTGAGCATAAATGAGCCCTTACGGCCGGGCTCCACCGGCTGCAAACGTAAGTGTCATGTCAGTGTAGCGTCGAGGCTTATTCATTTGGGCTCCACTGACTGCGTACGGAAGCAACACGTAGAGAAGCCAGCGGGGTTGTTTACTGTTTGCCGAGCTGAGAGGCTGCACGTAGGCTGCATGAAATGTTAAAGCATTTCCCATCTAAGTTATTACATATATTTGAGTTATCTACAAGTTTACTGTACTGTTTGTCATCTACTCGCTTTCAAATGTCTGCCACGGATATTTACACAATGTCACGGATAAACATGGGTAAATGCATGAAAAAAAATCATCACATATCACCTCTGTTAATGGTTTATTCATTTAAAAACACATTGTGCTCGTTTAGCACACTATTTCATGTAGTTTTTATCTGCTGGAGGGTCGCGTAGGGGAGCGTAGCGCGACAAAAATAGAAGAGCCGCCTAAAATAGAGAGTTGTCGCGTGGCAGACGGGGGTTGTCGCGCCGCTCCCGTTGCTGGTGGAGCCGCTGTAATTGATTAACAGGGGGGCGAGCTGCTACAGGACTCGCGCTGCAGACGTGTTACGCCGCTGACGTGCCCGGTGGACCCCGGCCGTTAGAGTTCCAGTTTGGCACTGCCCATCCTACTTCCTGCTTGGATATCTGAAGTGCCAAATAAGAGCAGCACCCAGTCCAGCTCTCCAATCTGCAATCCAGGGGACCGGGAATATAAGTTCTTGGCTAGTTTGCCAGTCAGGGAAGCTGGGAGTTCGAGTGAACAGCTCACCACTGTGTTGCTTGTTATTGTGTTCAGCCTAATGCATGAGTCACTAACCCATCAATTGTGATCAACATATTGATCAACATTAAGGCTCTTGACTACCCCAGCTGGCCACAGTCTTGTTACTTCATTGAATCTGTGACGTGTCATCCTCTGACCAAAATTCAGTAGACAACGTCTAATCTACATCAATTGATGCTGGCCTTGATGTAGAACACCAACATTTAATCATAAGGTATGGAGTGCAAAACCTAACATCTCCAAAACTCCATAAAGTTAACATCCAAAATTAATTGTGGTTAGACATTTAAAATATCGTCAGCCCGATTTTCATTCCAACCAAACTTTACCATCTGTCTGACATACGAGTTCAATATATTTCTGAAGTCATTCTGATGTCCAGTGGGGATGTGGAAATTGGCTTTGATAGCTATTGATAACTCACACACTAACTGGCATGAGCAAATTTTTGTGGAGTGAACAACTGACCAACCAACCAACCAAATGACTGACAGAGTGGATAGGAGTGGATAATAACAGAGTGGATAATGGGAGATAAACTCATGCCCCACTTACTTAAAATGGAAGAATATTCCTAATGATATGAGCAGTGACACCAGCGACAGGCCGTGACCAATCATGACCAAATAGAAGTGAGTCATTGCCGCCTGCAAGAAAGCAAAATGAGTACAACTTCACAGTCAAAGCTGCTTCATATTTTTATATTGTCTTTATTCCTTCTTACTGTCCCATGATGTGTCGTGTTGGCATGGCAGTTTGTGAAGTTTGTCCACGTCCTCTTGCTCTCGGGGTGGCGTCCCCACTCTCCCGTCTCCGTGCACACTTTGGATGCCATTGCTGGAAACAAATTTGCAACCACAGTTTTATATTTCTGTTTGTACATTTACATCATTTTTATATTTCTTTTTTTTTTCTTTTTTCTTTTTTTTGTATAATTGAAAAATGAGATACAGCAGGTAATATAGCATGCTAATTGCTAATACAGCAAAGCTAATTAGAGGAGATGTAAACTTTGGAAACAGACAGGCCAGTTGTTTCTCCCTCCCTCTAGTTTTTATGCTGGTCTCTATGCTAAGCTAACATAAGCCCACAGACATCCCCCTTTTGGGAAGAAAGTTCACACTTTCTTCTAGAACATGTTTACATGCTCTAATGGTTAAAAAAACACTTTATTTTCCTTATACTATCTGTGCTGGAACACCTGTATTCACCCTCTGTCTGAAATGCTTTGGTTTAGTTCCTGTCTCTTAAAGACCCCCTCCCGAAAAGCCCAGTTTGTTCTGATTGTTCAGCATCTTCAGGTCTTCCATGTCTCCGTGTCTCTGCACCACCATTGCAGCATGACTCCGAGGGAGAATAGCGGCACTTTTTACTGTGAAAAATCACTGCTAAAAGCTTTTTAACATGACCAGAAATGTTCCAGCAGGAATCTGATCTTAAATCTACAAGAAATTAACAACATCAGCAATCAAGTTTACATCTTTCCCTGATGGTAGCATGTAGCTACATGTAGCGATGTACAAAAAACAAAACATAGATAAGAACTTAAAAACACAGCCAGACACATTCCAGCAGGAGTGTGATCCAAAATCGGGGCAATATTAATAACATTGTCAGCCAAGATTCATCTACATGTTTCCCTGACATTAGAATGTAGCTACATGTAGCAGTGTACTTGCAGCCAGAGAATAAGTGTTTATAGCTGCAATTTATCTCATTAGAAATCACCAATAAAAGCTTCAAAACACAACCAGACATTTTCTAGCAGTGAAAGTGGAAGCAGGGAGAAATGAACAACATGAGCAACCAAGATTATATGTTTTACTGATGTTAGCATGAAGCTACGTGCAACAGTGTACTTGTAGCCGGGGAAAGAATGTGTATACTATATTATGTGAAAAAACACCAACAAAGCTTCTTAGCACAACCAGACATGTTCCAGCAGGAACATGATCCAAAAGATATTAACAACGTTGGCAACCAAGACTAGCCTACATGTTTCCCTGACTTTAGGCATGTAGCTACATGTAGTATTGTTCTTGCAGACATAAAATATTTGTGTATAGCGGCAATAAAAGCTTCAAAACACAACCAGACATTTTCTAGCAGGGATATGATCTGAAATCATGAAGAAATTAACAACATCAGCAGCCAAGATTACACATTTCCCTGACTTTAGCATGTAGCTACGTGTAGCAGGGTACACTAAATAATGTAAACACTTGCAGTAGCGTGCCTGGAGCAGATGACCATATAAAGAAATCTGTGAAGATCTGAAGTCAGCTTGTAGACAGTGTGTAAAGAACAATCAGAAACAGAGTATTCAAAATGGACGGAGGTTAATACTCACAGGGATTACTTTTACATACATTTACTTCATTAATGAAAACTTCAGCCACGTTTAATTGGAACATCCTACATTGTAATATTGTATATGACAGAAAATAAAGGAAAAGGTTAATAGGTCCCCTTTAAATATCATCTAAAGACTGGGAATTCAGCTTTAAACACAGGGAAACGGCACTCAAGTTGCTTTAAGTTGGTAAATTTGACATTGAATTTTAGAAATTTACCTTGAGGATCAAAATCGTGATAGTAGTCTGGACAGCTCTGCTCTGTTTGTCCGGGTTCAGTTTCATCCCAGCACAGCCACCCATCCCACGTCGCGTTGCAAACTGGCCCTGCAGACAACAAAGGACACACAGTGATATGTTGAAGTGACTTCATATGGTTAGTAGTGACATCAAGTCACCAAAGGCTTTTTGAGATCAGCTCCTCACCTATTGTTTTAGTTTTGCGGTGTGATTCTTTTATAATCCTTTGGAAACATTCGTACTGGGCTGTGGCGATTTGGTTCCCTGTCGACTGATGTTCGCCCCGATGATTTAGATGCTCCTGGTAACCCTCCTCAGAGTTTGCCTCCACCAGCAGCTTTAGAGAGATTATTGGGATTTAGCATGCAAACCCACACAGGTGTACAGAAAATAGAGTGTTAATCAAAAGCTTATAAATAAAACATTAAGATAAAATATATGATATAGATAATTTGTAATGCAATAAAAAAGTCACAAGCTGTATTGTTTTGTCTTCTGTGGCTCTGTGGGGGCTAAAATCACTCTCAGGTTGCATTATGGGAAGTGTAAGATCAAGATCGACCCATATCTGCACCTAATTAGTAGTAGCACTAACACTAACTTGCACCTAGTTAGTATATCTCAGCATCTGCTGCTTCAATTTTGGCCATTCTTTTTTAATCTGTCTCTCATAACACCCACAACTTTATGGAAGTGCAATACTAAATCACTTCTGTAGTGCCCCTTTAAGGAGTGCCCCAAGAGCATGGGCGGATTATGAGACAGTGGGCCTGTGGGCACATATGCAAAGGGCCCCACCACTCAGCAAAACACACAGGTGGTTGTGGTTGTTTTGTGTTTCTTTGTAGTCGTTTTGCATCTTTTTGTGGTTTTGTGTATCTTTACAGTCATTCTGTGGTGTCCATGTAGTTGTTTATGTCATTTTATGGTCATTTGGGTCTCTCTGTGGTAATTTGGTGTGTCTTTAAGGTAATTTTATGTCGTTTTTGGTCATTTTGTGTCTCTTTGCGGTTGGTTTGCCTGTTTTTTGTAGTTTTATTTTACACTGGCTCCCCCCTCTACTGGAATTTTTGGGTAATTAATACTCCTCTAATCACAAGTACGTATTCACAACTGAGAAAAACGTAAACATAGCTGGCCAATCAGGACATGCCTAACTGAATATGTGTGGATCCCACAGTATATAAGGAGGCAGATTCCTGCCATCAGAAATCCTTTTTCTCTTTAATGAATTGCACACTAACCTCCAGCTGGTCAGAATCAGTGTGGCTGGGTCAATGTTATGTTGCAACAGAGTGTTCATGCATCAGACTCCACCCATTGTATCTATAGAGTCCAGTAGAGGGCAGAGCCTGTGTAAGATAGAACAAAGGCACAATATTGTAACCCTAGTCCTATTAGCACAGGCAGTGACCACTATCTTGGATCCCTGTTACTCCTATGTTGCATGCTGAACAGGGTGTAGGATGTCTGATGGCTGCCTCCTTATATGCTGTGGGGTCTGCACATGTTCGGATAGGCACGTCATGATTGTCTGGCCATGTGTATGCTTTTCTCAGTGTGAATGTGTGCTCATGATTGAAGGAAAATTACCCAGAGTCCAGTAGATGGCTCCACCTGTGCTAACAGAATTAGGGTTACAATATCGTAACCTTTGTTATCATGTGTCTCTTTTTAGTTTTGCATCTCTTTGTGGACTTTTTTATGTCTCTTTGTCTCTTCCTGTTTATTGTGTGTCAGTTTTGGTGACATTTTGCAGATGAAGGTCAAGGGGGGCCCTGGCACTATGGGCCCCTGATCCTGTGTCCAGTAGAGTGTTGAGTCATCCATCTATGATTAGGAGGATTAAAGTACTCAGCCAATCACAGAGTTTTAAATGTCAGGAAGGGACTGGGTGCTGCTTTTTAAAAACAAAGAACTTCAGTTATGCTGAAAAATATTCTAAAAACTGGAAATTACATAGAGATTTGGTTCTGGGGTTATATTTTATCAAATGTGCATGGCCAAAAAAACCCAGAACCAAATAGAATTATAGCTGCTGCGCAGTGATGGGTCGGGTCCGGGCATTTTTAGGCAATTCTGAGCAACAAGCAGAAGAATTGGAAGACATTTTTCAACACAATCTGCCTTTTGCATAAGCTGAGGCTTGAACTCACAACCTCTGAGACTGAGGATCAATTTATATCTCACTGAGCTAATTAGTCAGGGACAATTCATATGTAGCTTCACAAACTGACTAAGCCAGATGTGCAGGTTTAGCAGCTGTCCATGCATGGAAAAGCAGATTTCAAACCACTGTAAAAAATTCAGTTATCGAAACAAAAATCTGAAAATACACATATTGCATCTAGACAGCATGGAAATGTTGGTAATTTATTTTAACAATGATTGATTTGCTTCATAAGTGAAAAACTGATGTTTAACTAGTTGAGCTATGTGCAAAGTGAGAAGCCTCAGATGGTTTCACACTGAAGTATTGACACTGGATCTTTGTGCAAAGTTTGGTTTATTTTCAAGCATGAGAAGGCAGAATTTCTAGCAGAAAAAAGACTTGAAGATGCTGCACCGTGATCAGTCACGCTCAGGCAATTTTAAGCAATAAGCTGAAGCACAAGAAGATGTTTACATTACAATGTGGATTCTGCACCAGTTGAAGCTTGAACCCGCAACCTCTGGAACCTAAGACGGTCATCTACCACTCTGAGCTAATTGGCAAGTAGCAACTCAACAGTGGCTTCACAAATTGAGTAAGCCATTCACTGTTGTGTAGGAAAGCAGCCATCCGTGCATGGAAAGGCAGATTTGAAACCACTGTAAAAAATTCAGTTATTAAGACAAAAATCTGAAAATAAAATTGCATCTAGACAGCATGGGGATGTTGGTAATTTGTTTGTAACAATGATTGATTTGCTCCATAAGTGAAAAACTGATGTTTAAAATTACCATTTTTAAATTGACTCCAATTGTTCACATTAGAGCAAAATTCAAAATGCTGTCAAAAATTCAGTTTTTGAGATAAAATTCTCAAAATTTGCCACACATCATCTACCATGACTCTAGAATTTTGTCATTTTTTTCATGAGCATTGAAGATTTATTTAGCAAGAATTTGCATGTATGGGGCATTCTACCGATTTTGTGCAAAGTGCTGTCCCTTAACAAAAAAAACAACAAAAATGATATAATTGAGTATTCAGACATAGATATTTACAAAGTTGTTATGTTATGACCTATTTAAACCCAGGACATTAAATAAAAAAGTGATAAGCTAAATATATACAAAATCACCATTTATAGGGTACTTTCTATTGGGAAGTAGCTGTCCCCAACCCTGACCTCTAAAATTCAATTCATGTAAATAACACGTAAAACATTTTTCATATTTTTTTCAAAAGTGTAATTTAAAACATCTTTGTGATTAAGTTTAAACAGAAGTTGAAAGATTTAGATATATTGTGGGATTAATTTTTAAATTAAGAAACTATGCTAAAAAAATAGTGTCCCTTGTTTTCATGTCACTACTGAAACACAAGAGTTTTAATGCTCTGGTTGAGTCTGGATTTTAGCCACACCCCTGAATTTCTGAGACGGGAGGTAGTACTGCATCCCCGTCCCACATGGCTGCATGTAAGTCGCTGACTCCCATCATTTTTTAAATAAATGTCTTCCAAAGTCTGAAAATCAGTGTGTAACTTTTAAAACCGTCACTACCGAACACATGTTCTCTTCAATTATGTAAAAATTTGGGGGGTTTATGCAAAATATTATGTTTTTCTGTGTGAACAACTCTTCAAATGTGTTTGTTAGCCATGTGACTGCTAGTATTCTTTAGTTATCCTGAAAAATAGCTAGGATTGTCACTACCGAACACATGTTCTTTTCAATTATGTATGTATTTGGGGGGTTTATGCAAAATATTATGTTTTTCTGTGTGAACAACTCTTCAAACGTGTTTGTTAGCCATGTGACTGCTAGCATTCTTTAGTTATCCTGAAGAAAAATAGCTAGGAATGTCACTACTGAAACAGTCACTACCGAAACCTATGGTTAAGTTTCAGTAGTGACATGATCATTTCGGTGGTGACAAAATGGAATGGTCAGTAGTTAAACCCCATAATTTTGTGGTCCAAAGTCCTGCTCTTTTCTGCTCTACTCGACTCTACCCTGGTCAACTCTACTCTGCTTTACTCTATACTCTACTCTACTCTGCTCTACTCTACCCTGGTCTACTCTACTCTGCTTTACTCTATACTCTACTCTTCTCTACTCTACTCTGCTTTACTCTGTTCTGCTCTTCTCTGCTCTGCTCTGCTCTGCTCTACTCTACCCTGGTCTACTCTACTCTGCTTTGCTCTATTCTGCTCTACTCTGCTCTGTTCTGCTCTGTTCTGCTCTACTCTACTATACTCTGCTCTGCTATACTCTACTTTGCTCTACTCTGCTCTACTCTACTATACTATAATCTACTCTTCTCTGTTCTACTCTGCTCTACTTTGCACTACTCTGCTCTACTCTACTATACTATAATCTACTCTTCTCTGTTCTACTCTGCTCTACTATACTCTACTTTGCCCTACTCTGCTCTACTCTACTATACTATAATCTACTCTTCTCTGTTCTACTCTGCTCTACTATACTATACTCTGTTCTACTCTGCTCTACTTTGCACTACTCTGCTCTACTCTACTCTACTCTACTATACTCTTTTCTACTCTATTCTGCTCTACTTTGCTCTACTCTACTATACTCTGCTCTGCTATACTCTATACTCTGTTCTACTCTGCACTACTTTGCTCTACTTTGCTCTACTCTGCTCTACTCTGCTGTGTTCTACTCTGCTCTACTTTGCACTGCTCTGCCACACCCCTATACTCTGCTCTACTATACTCTTCTCTATTCTACTCTACTATGCTCTGCTCTACTCTATTCTGCTCTGCTCTACTCTTCTATACTCTGCTCTACTCTATAATCTGCTCTACTCTGCTCTACTCTACTCTATTCTGCTCTGTTTTGCTCTACTCTACTATACTCTGCTCTACTCTGCTCTACTCTACTATGCTCTGCTCTGCTATACCGTATACTCTGCTTTACTCTGGTCTACTCTACTCTACTTTACTCTGCTCTACTCTATACTCTACTCTATTCTGCTCTACTCTGCTCTGTTCTTATCTACTCTGCTCTGTTCTACTCTGCTCTACTGTATTCTACTCTGCTCTACTCTACTATACTCTGCTCTACTCTACTTTGCTCTACTCTATTCTGCTCTACTCTGCTCTACTCTACTATACTGTGCTCTGCTTCACTCTGCTCTACTTTGCTCTACTCTACTCTGCTCCACTTTACTATACTCTGCTCTACTATACTCTTCTCTACTATGCTCTGCTCTGCTCTATTCTGCTCTGTTCTACTCTGCTCTACTTTGCTATGCTCTGCTCTACTCTACTATACTGTGCTCTGCTTCACTCTGCTCTACTTTGCTCTACTCTACTATACTCTGCTCTACTATACTCTTCTCTTCTCTGCTATGCTATGCTCTGCTCTATTCTGCTCTGCTCTTCTCTACTATTCTTTGCTCTACTATACTCTGCTCTACTCTACTGTGCTGTGCTCTACTCTACTCTACTCTGCTCTACTCTGCTCTACTCTACTATTCTCTGCTCTACTCTGCTCTACTCTACTCTGGTCTACTCTATAATCTACTCTTCTCTACCCTACTCTACTCTAGTCTGCTCTACTCTATACTCTTCTCTACTCTATTCTGCTCTGCTCTGTTCTGTTCTACTCTGCTCTACTCTACTATATTCTGCTCTACTCTGCTCTACTATACTCAGCTCTAATCTACTCTACTTTGCTCTTCTCTGCTCTACTCTGCTCTACTTTGCTCTACTTTGCTCTATTCTACTATACTCTGCTCCACTATACTCTTCTCCACTCTGCTCTGCTCTGCTCTGCTCTACTCTCTCAAAAATTAAATTGTTTTATTGACCACAAAACATTTGTCTTTGAATTTGTAATTCCCACCATAAGGCATACATTTGAGGAAACACTGGGTGTTTTGTAAAAAATAAAGTATATTGAGTTATCAGTTAAAGTATTATGATGCTAATCGGTTACATTTATGTTCTGTTTCATCAGTTATTTACTCTGAAATCAATCTGATCAGCGTTATGCATTTTACAAAGAAAGATTGCATTTAGATTTCGAAGAATTCTATAATTTGAACTTCGAAATTTGTTAAAATATTAATTATTATAGATTTAATTGTGAAAACCTTCAGTCAAAATTTGTAAAAATTTAAATCTTTAGACAAGGGAAGAAACAAGCATAACAGGTTGATATATATTTTTTTGTAGAATATAATACTATATGTTTCGGTAGTGACAAATTTTGGGAGAGGAAAAACCTTCCAAAACAGTCTGAAAATACAATATAAAAATTTATAGTCATTTTACTAGATATGTGACCTTGACATATGGTACAATATATATAGGGACAAAGTTTTGGAAATAAAACATACAAAATTTCAAAATATTTCCAGCCTGACTTTGCACACATTCGATAGAATGCCCCATATATGTTTACAGTACCGTTTACAGTCAAACATTTTGATGCACTGTAGGCTCAATTTTTGATAAAACAAAAATCTGAGAAACATACTTTGTGTAGGACAGTCTGAAGATGCTCTGTAGCAAGTTTGATGTCAATTGAGCAAAAATTGTGGGAGGAGATAGGTTTAAGAAGTTTTACAGTTTTTGAAAAAAACAGAGTGATGAACTTCATAATTTTTAATAGGTTTTAATGAACAAAAGTTTCTTCAGTACTGGGGCTACAGTTTGATGAAAGTTGTGAAGTTGTAGCACGTATGGTTGATTTGTTATGAATTTTCAAAGTTTTGAACTTTAGACGCTTGCTGTAGCGCCACCATCAGGACTATTGGCTTGAGTTTACAGCTGAGGATATTTGGTATGAGACTGGACCTTTGTGCAATGTTTGGTGAGTTTTCACCCATGGGAAGTATGATTTCCTCGCAAGAAGAAAGAAGAAGAATACCTAGGATTACAATAGTGTCCTGGCAGCTTAGCTGTCCGGACCCTAATAACTCTAACAACTTGCTTCAAATTTGAATGGATGATCTAAAAATGCAATGGTTAAGTTGCAAAAACAGACAAGACAAACACGAGAGGGTGACAAATTTGCCAAAATAATATACCTCAGGCTAAAGTCCACACAGGTCAGATAAAACATCTACCTTATTGAGGGCACACAGGACCAGGAGATACACTAAGCTGTTTCCATCCATCTGTGCTCTGATCACCATGGACTTTGCAATCAGTTTCTGCACAAGAAAACAATATAAGTGTTGCAATTATTTTAAACAATGTGACATTTTCAGTTATCCAAAGTCATGTAAACAAGCAAAACTATATCTCCAAACCCATGTTTTTAATTTGGAAAGGCAGGTCTCCTCTATTTGGACGTTAAGGTGACAGATGTGACCCTCTGCTTCCTCTGTTCCCCACAGCTTCCTTCCTGCATGCTTATTATGCATGTTGAGCAAGTTTAACTAAGGTTTTGCCAAAAGACATCAATGTGGCAAATGAAGTACGAGCATTTGTTGCATTTACTGTACATACAGTATACTAAATGCTGGATTTGCTGTATGTGGGTACGATGCTTGTAGAGGATACAGATACAGATACAGCTGGAAGAGGAGAATCTCATTTTATCATATTATCTAAGCCAGAATAGATGAGCAGAACATGTCTGAGTGTATCTTTTTCAGACTATATATACAGGTAATGACTAAATTCTCATGTTTAATATTCCTTCAGCTGCAGCAGATAGATTGTGCTTCAGTGGAAGAGATGTGACCATCACTGTGACAGCACTGGATATGATGACTGAAATATTGGAGGTAAAAATAGTTAAAGCAGTGACAGTTAGTAGTGATAGAGGTTTTGTTTTCACCAATATTTTCAGTGATGTTGTTTGAATTGAACTGTATTTGAGTACTTTCTAACCAGAGATAAAAATGCCCTGTCACTCTTTATCTCATGTAGTTGCTGCACAGAACATAGAGTCACAATTAATGTTTTATTTTGGGAAAAAGACTGATTCATAATAAGCTCAACCCTTGTCTGTAACTGTTATTAAAAAGTGCAGTCACCTGTGATGATCTGTAATGCCTTACTTTCGTTGTACATGGAAAGTTGCATTCCAAAAACAATGAGCCTTACTGGAAAGTTTCATGATACAGATCAGACTGGCGAGCTACTTATCCTCTTTTAACACACACAATACATTTTTAAAATTGAGTTTGTGGTCTGAAATCATCTCTATCTCTAAGCCAATTCGTCACTCTAAAAAAAGATTCCACTGGCTCAACTTAATAAATAAATACAAAAATAAATAGCGTTAAAATTTGCATGCATCTTTTAGTTAGTAAATCCTATAAGTCCTTTCTAACAATAATAATAATAGTAATAATAATGATGACTTTATAAAGGACACGGAGGAAGGTCCATGGCATACCACATAAAAACAATCATCTATGTACAAAAAAATATAAAATAAATATATATAAATAAATAAATATATATATATATATATATATATAATCAAGAAATACCCAACACTACACTATGCAAGTTCATATAAAAAAGACAAAATTCTATAAACTGCACCCACACTGGAGAGCCAGTGGCCACACAGTCTAGATGAAAACGTGACTGAGCTCATCTCGGGGATGGCCAAGGCATGGAAGATACCATTTTCTGAGATAGAGAGCCAGCACATTAATCAACATATAAGATTTCATATTAGAGCAGGGCAGGTAGGCACACCAACATTTACAAACATTTGGCTGGCACTGCACCATCGTAGATGTTTAAGAAGCAGTCTCATGCCATCGTTATAGGCCAGATTAACTCTTTGCGTGCTGCTCTTCTGAAAGGAGCACCACATGTGGGCAGCATACAGTGGTGTCCAAAATTCTCTATAAAGAGTGATCGTCACATTAACTGAACACATGCTAAAGCAAGCTTGTGACACTGACTGTGGATATCTTTATCATCAAATAAAATGACACTGACAGTATGTTAAGAGCAATACCAGAAAAGAAGAATTCAGGAATTACTAATTTGCTGTCTTCTTTACTTCTAACAATCATAATCTTCAACAGCTGTTGTAGGCCGGCACTATATGAGCAGAAGATTACCATAATCTGACAACTCAATCAGTTTAATACACCAACATGATTTGACCTTGTAAAGCTTATCCCAGTTGGCATTCTAATATTTATTCACTGTTGAATCAATGTCATAGACCATGGTTGGATCACTGTTGAATTACATTTTGAATTTGAAAGACGAATCAACGTTGATTTTGCAGTCTTGTTTCATAATCCTTTAACGTTGTTTCAAAATGGTTTAAACAATAACAAAAGATCTTTCTGAAATTTCAATGACAATTTATGAGAATTTTGTTACCCTTTCTGTAATCATCAGAATTAAATGTTGTTTCAGTGTTGTTTTAATGTTGAAACAACAACTGACATGATTTCAAACACATTTCAATGTTGAAGGTCAGTCGTGTGCCAGCTGGGAAATAAGTTAAACCAACTTAATATTTATCCAAAAGCTGTGGTGACACTTAATGGTCAAAATATTTCATTTAAGATATTCCAACTTATTTATTTTAATGCCATCCTACTCAAAAAAATGTTTGATTTTACCAACTTCTTAAAATAAGTTGTCAACAGACTAAAACATGCTAATATAACAAACATATTTCTAATGCTGAAAAACATCTTTATTTTAAGCGTTCCACAAAGTGTAGGCATTCTCACAACTTTTATTTTATTATTTTTTATTTTATTTCATTTTGTTTTATTTTGCTTATTTGACTCGTTCTCGTATGTAGCTCCTTTTGGCCCAATATCGTATACCTTTTAAACTGTTTTTAAATTGTTTTTATCCTTTTTACTATTGTAAAGCACTTATAATGTTGTTTTTTAAATGTGCTATATAAATAAAGTTTGTTATTATTATTATTTGTAACAGCAACAGTCAGTATAGAAAATAGCATGTATCATGATACTGTTAAAGTGAGTAAATATTTTAGATAGGTAACTGGATGTTTTAAATATTTTGAAAGGTTAAATGTTATTATAATTTAATATTTAATGAAAGTTTTCTATAGATGCAGGTAAATATCATGAACCTCTGTCCGCAGTCTTTATAGCCTAAGCTAGTTTGCAACATCCGCCCCTTTAGGCCTTTATACAAATACACACTAGCTCCAAAAGAGGTTTTGACACAGTGGTAGGCATTTATGGACACATTTAATATTTGCAAATTGGTTTAACATATTTAACCTACTTAGTTCCACAATAATATGGCAGTGTCTAATCTGCTTCAAAGTGTCTGATAAGAGTATGATGAGTGTTTCATTCCTGGTACATCATCATCATATTTCAAATCTACAATTTCCTGTCAATCACAACATCTTTCCATCTTTGTCCTCTCAGTCCTGCTACAATATGAGAGCAACCGTTCTCTAAAATCCAGGGCTTCACATCTGGAGTAACAAAGAGTTTATGATATATTGACATAGACAGACTTTATTAATTTCCAACTCCCATGACTGCTAATTCAGGGAATATTTGACACTTTATAAGATTAATATATTCTTGAACACACCCAAAAGACTCTCTCAAGGCCTAGAAAGACACCTAATAACTCAAAGTGAAGTTACTCCCTTGTTGTGTGGGATGTCTATGCCAGAACACTGATCCATGTGAAGTAGGCTTTATTAGCTCCATTTCACCACTTCATATGACCTTGATATAATGTGTTTAAATAATCCAGCTACACACTGGGTCGGCTCCTATCATCTCTGTTTATGTGTTTTGTGGTAAACATGGATTTGCTCTCTGTTTAATACTAATTTAGAGCAAATAAACTGATTTTTGTTTTGTCTTTCTACGACTTAAACCTTCACCACAATCCCCGCTTTCCATACATGCAGCATATAGCCTCAAGTATAACATTTCTAGCTCAATTTGACATTTAATAAATTAACTTTTGACCTGTTCCCAGCAGCGTAACCACAGTGCCTGAACAGTGATAACAATCAACATGCAGAAAAACTGTAACTATTAAAGAAACTTACCTTTTCAGGTGCAGAAAAAATTTTAAAAACACAGTGTTTGCCACTTCTTGAAGAGGAATCCTTCAGTTTTAGAGTTTACCTTTGCAGAGAAAGAAGATTTCTATAAGAGTAGTCCTTCAGCATGTGTGTTTCGCAGCAGAGTCAGAGGCAACACTGAGCTGTCCTGATAAGAACTGACTGGGGCTGTGGATGACATCACATGCTTGCCTTTTGTGGAGGCAGCTAGAGGGACATCCCTAGTAAAACATGAATAGGCCTAGTAATGAAAAAAAAGCCCTGGATCTACTAATGTGTCTTTTAATTCATGTATTAAAACCCTCAAAAATAATATGATATCACTGATCAAAAACACAAGTTTTGGGTCCTCTATGTCAGTCAAGCAGCAGATTTTGTGTGTGAAGAGACTTAATGTTGCAGCTGGTAAAGGTGGAGCTTATTGTAAACACTTTATAAACTACTTGGTGGTTAAATCTATAATTATACAGCATCATTGTTTAGTTAGTTATATTTTGTATTAATAATCTAAGTCTTCAAAATCAGTTAGGTCAGACTGGCATGCTGTGCATATACAGGCACATGCACTGGATGCGCTAAGATGCAGATTCACAGTAGCAATATACCGGTATTGTATGCTGCACAGTGTAATTTATAAAACTGAGACAGATGCTAAAATTTCTCCAGTCACATTCAACAGTCTTTTGCCTGCTGTATGTGCTGTAATGGAATAAAATGGACACCTGATTGTTAAACATTTCTGTCAAATTTGTCCATGCATTTGCTGCCGCCCACTGGTGGAAATAAGAAAATGCACAGGGGATGCTGATGCTGTTGTACTTTTTTTTTTTTTAACTCAAAGTGCTTTACATAATAAAATGAGAAAAGACGGTATAAATGAAGTAGGATTCAAATACGCAATCACACTCACACACACACACACACACACACACACACACACACACACACACACAAATACAAATTAAGTTTGATACCAATTAAGTACAAAAAAAAAAATACACAAATGTAAGCCAAAAAAGGATTCTTTTTTTTTAAAAGAAGGTTTTAAGATTTAGTTTGAAGCTATCTACTGAATCAGAGTCTAAGTTTAAATTAAAAGCAACATTTTAAAATGAATTCTAAAATGAACAGTCAGCCAATGAAGAGCCTTTAAAACCGAAGTCATGTGTTCTCAATGTTTAGTCTTGGTGAGTAGACGTGCTTCTACATTTTGGATCATCTGAAGTTTATGTAAAGATTTCTTTGAGAGGCCTGAGAGCAAGTACTCAAGTCTACTTGAGATAAAAGCACAAACAAGCTTTTTGGTGACTTTTTTAGATCAAATTAAAAGGTTGCACACAGCAATATTTCTAAGATGGAAAAATGCCTTTGTGGTGATGTTTCTTACTTGGGGATGAAAAAACAGGTCACATAGGTCAATGCTGATAAGCCAGCAAAAAGTCATTTTCAGTTGTTATACTTTTAGGATATTCAGATACACCTAATAAAGGTACTGAAAATAATTTGGTAAACAAACTATCTACAGACTATCTTTTGTGCTGGTGTTACAAAGTAACATTAATAACGATTTGAATAACAATAAGTTTTTTTTTTTTGTTTTTGGTTTTTTTTTACAATAATATTAATATAATACACGGTATAATAAATAGAATATTTAGTGTAGCTGCTGAAGCATCCACACTAAATAATTTATCACTACGTCACTGCTGTCAATCTGAAAGCACACAACTGACCAATCACGAAGAGCTTCTATCGTTTAGCAATGGCGCCCTCTGCCGGTGAAAAGCCCCTTAGCAACAGCCAGGTTACCATGGACACCACAGCGTTCTTGGTACCCTGCTGTTATATCCGGTCTTTGGGAGTTTATCGACAAAGACAGGTACTTTTTATACCCTTTTAAGATGTGTACACCTCCTTAGACGAGTTTATTAGTTAAACTTGAAGTGTTGACGTTTGTTTTAACGTATCCCAATATATATCGAGTTCTCAGTCCGCTGTATCAACCGGAAGTACTGAAAAATGTTTAGCCAGCAAGGCAATGTTCAGTCACCCGTCATTTAACTTAGCTGTCTTACATTGGGATAACTGAGGAGATGATGAAACAGTTTAAATACATAGTGAGTTTTGAGCTACTTCCAGGTGCAGTAATATTCTGTAACGTTATGAAATCAGTCATAGCCTACTTGTCGTGAAAACTTACTAGCTACATGTTCAAAATAATTTATTTTCTGCTTTTTATTTGTTAGCTAGCGTACAAAGCGAAATGCAAAGTGTTTTCTGGTTACAGTTTATGAACGTGGAAGTATTTGTTTACAAGTGTATTTTTGCATGTAAACAGCTGACAAAAGGTAAAAACTGTAATTAGCATGTTTTCTGTGAATGTTTTGTTTATAACTGTCAGGCTGGGATAAAGATAACAAGAGAAGACAATTCGTGGAACATATGATATCTCACTGATTTGCTTTGCAATCTCCTGGCAGTTTTCTATTTACTCTGTAGGCCAAGGCAAGTTTATTTATATGGAACATGAACAAGACAGTTCAAAGTGCTTTACATAAAACATCATAAGCACTGAAACACAATGCAAAATAAATACCTTATTAAAGGACATTTAATTGCAAACAAAAACTTTATTACAGAGCTAGAGAACAGAAAATATTTTTTTTAAATTTTTTTTATTGTCATTCTCTATATACAGCAGCACACAGTGAACTAAATGTCATTACTCACGAATCCAGGTGCAGTAAAGTACATACAGCAAACAAGACATTCAATATGGACATGAAAACATTAACGTGCAATGAAGTGCATTGTGAAAACTCTTAAAAATAAAAATAGGTAAGTGCAGAGGAATAAATATTATATAGTAATGACCTAATAAAACAGCAAAATGATGATCTGGATAACAATTAAAAAATGGGTTCTGATGCTGCAAAACCTTTTGCCTGATGGCAAGGTGGGAGAACAGACTGTGTGAGGGGTGGGAGGGGTCTTTAGAAAAAATGCAGAGGCTCTGCGTGTGTACCGCTTTCAAATATGACTTGGATGGTGGGAAGATGATTCTCAAAAACAAATATACTAAGACAGGTATAAAATACAAGAGTTAAAGTTACAGTGCAGTATAAGAAATCAGTAAATATTTGATTTAATAAAGGTAGCATGAAGTCTCCAACAGACCTGCAGTTTTCTGGGAGTATGTTCCAGATATGTGGTGCATAAAATCTTAAAACTGCTTCCCCACTTTTAGTCTCAAAGCAGACCTGCCCCAGAAGACCTGAGAGGTCTTGATGGTTCATAGTGTAGCACATGGTCAGAAATATATTTGGACCCTAAACCATTTAGTGCTTTAAAAACCAACAGTAGTATTTTGAAATTGATTATCTGTTAGAAAGGAAGCCAGTTTTTTTAGGGAAGACCTGTAAAGTTGTTACAGTAGATGAGTCTACTGAAAGTAAATACACAGACACATTTTTCCAAATCCTGCTGAGACATAAGCCCCTTCATCCTTGATGTGTACCCTCATTTTTATTACCAGAGGGTCAGATGATTGATACATCTCTCTATTCTGCAGTAACAGAATGTTCAGGAAAACCACCTGGAGGAACATAGTCAGCGATGCAGTGAGTTTCCACCAGGACCAAGCCCTCACCACAGCTATATTCTTCCTGAGGTCTTTCGGCCCGACAGGATTCCTGCTCAGAGAGGAGGGAGAGGCCAGGACCTTTAAGGTAAATCTTAAATTCTGTGATTCAGGATGCATTTCTCAGACTCCACAAACCATGTTTTGTATTCTTACTCAAGCATGTTCTCTTGTTCATGTTGTTCAGGTGTTCTTGGGTGACCCACATACGTGCACTTGTCCTGTGTTCACCAGGGAGCAGGAGCTGTGCAAACGCATCTGCTGGTATCAGTAACACACACACAAAAGATTCACACACCTGAAGGTTTTTCAGGGTGTCTGTAGGTCCTTAAAACATCTTAAAATGTCTTAAACTAGGCCTTAAAAGTAATTAAATGGTATTAAATGTGAATTTCTAAGGTCTTCATTGCCACAAACATTTGATGTAATCTCATCGTTATTTTAATTTATTTTTGTCAAAATGAGTCCACATTTCTGATGTTACAAATCTTTAAACCTAGTACTGTCTTTTTACTTTATACTTGCACTTACCTGTTGGCCAGATGTAGATGAACCTAAGTCACTCCAGTAATCATATTCCTACATAAAACCTACCACTACACAGGACATATACTTCTTACCTTTATGCTGACCTGCAATGCTTAAAACATTACTGAACATTAAAATCAGTTTTTAATTTGGTTAAAAATTATTTTTGAAAAGGTTTTAAAAGGCATCAAATTTTGTGTCTGACACCTGTAGACTCCCTGTTTCTGCAAATAATATTCCATATGGTCCCTTTTTTAATCTTATATGTACTACATGTGCAACATTGTGAGGTGAACACAGGCATTGTATTTATCCATAAGACTGGGTAGCTTGTAGTATAGTTCAGGTGGGAAACTTTTCAGTGAAGTTTGTTGCACTTGATCTGAAAAACAAGTACACAATGTGACATAGGCCCAATTCCAATCCGGCCCCTAAAGACTCAAGCCCTGAACCCTCACTGACTTAACTGACGTCAGCGGTAAGTGATTGAGTGTGAGAGTCTATGAACTGTGGGTAATTTCCTTACCGTAAGTCCGCATCGATGCTGACCTACGGTAAGGGGGCATAAAGGGCTCACTCACTGACTCACTGACTTGACGATCTGACAATGGGACAGCCCTCACACACTCACGTACTTCACATGAACGCGCCTCTAAGTCAGTGAGTCTGTAAGGGATCGGATTGGAATTGGGCCATAATGTGGTAGACCCCTAGAGCAGTGGCTCTCAACCTGTGGAGCGGCCCCCCTGTGGGGACATAGAGCCACTGCAGGTGGGGCATGGATGACCAGGGGAAAAATATGGAGTGAAACAAAGATAAATGAATATGATTTATGGAGCTAAAGTAAATAAACAAGAGTTGGCTGATATTGGCATGCTGAGAGAGAATAAGTACTCCATGCGACACAAGGTAAATGAAAATGTTTTGATTCTACTCGGCTCTTCTTCAGGTCAAAA